CATGTTTGAAAGAGGAAACTCAGCAGGATGAAGGGCTTACCCAATTTCCGATTATGCTTTTGCTTCTGATAGCTTCCATCATGTTATAAAACCTCAAGATTGGAAAGTTTTCAGCGTAAGAGGAAAAGAGGGGAACAAGAGTTCTTGAACTAAAAATAGACTTAGTAACTCAGCTACTAGAGCAGTCTTAAGGAAAAACTTCTTCCCATCCTGCAAAATTCATACTCTCTCCGCTTTGAGTACGGCAGTAACATAAAAGATTGGAGGGTAGCATTTCACATAACCAAAACTAGCTTTATCAGTACTTTCTTCAGAATCTTTCTAACCGTTTGTAATCTCTAACGGATAAGCAGCTGAAAAGGTTACATAAAAATATACTGCTTATTCGATGTTATGACAGTAGTCAACCGTGATTACGTGTATAACAATACTTACAGAAATTCTGATTTTATCAAGTTGCTTTCAATTTATTTTCAACATAAGAGACGTACTGAATATTGTGATGATCTCTGAAACAATACATTTTGTTTATGAGTTCGAAAACAGTTATAATCCCATCTTCTTTCCCAAATTCTGAAGATCAGCATGCGAAATAAAATAATTTTTTATGAGAATGAAAAGGAAGGAAATTAATTATAGCAGTTTGAGCACAAAGGCCAAGAAGCAAAATATTGGACTTAGAAGTCACTAATTTAATTAGAAAACAAGGATTTTATGTAAAAATTGAGGCTTTCACGGCGGTGACTATGAAGAAAGCAGTCTTCTGGGATTTGGCACCGTGCATATGTGGTGTTAACCGACGTTTCGGAGGAACGTATCGCCTCCATCTTCAGGGTAGAAAGAAAAATATAAGAAATCCGCAAGCAGACTGCTTTTACCGGTTCTCACGGTCTCTTTGCTTGCGGATTTCTTATATTTTTCCTTCTACCCTGAAGATGGAGGCGATACGTTCCTCCGAAACGTCGGTTAACACCACATATACACGGTGCCAAATCCCAGAAGACTGCTTTCTTCAAGGATATAATGATTCACAGTTCTATACGTCATCTTATTCTGTTAGGATAGCAAATTAGAGAAAGCTAGGAAAATTGATAGGATGGGGAAAATGAGATATGCTTGTAGAACTTTAACAAATAATCTCATGGAAAACGTCGTGTTGGGAAATCTAAAAAAAATGTGGTATGATAATATTAATTATTATCTTACGAAACGAGGTTGTGAAGGCGGAAGATGGATGGAATTGACTTAGGATCATCTCCAACGGCTTGCCATGGTATTAGCGGTATCCAATCTCCTCAGTGTGTTACAATAATACAAGTGTATCCAAACATTGTGAAAAATTAGACTGTAAAACAATTTATATTCTTTTAATACAATTTTTATTTCTAGATTATTAAAGAAAGGTATCCCTGTGACATGAAGTGGAGATCCATAGGGTTGTGAGGCGTCGAGCCTGCCACAATTTCTCTAGAAAATTGACTCACAATTGGCGGTGAGGTGGTGAGCATTACGCGCTGACCGCCCTTTGCCCCCCAGAGGGATTCCTGGTACTCTTTTCTATTATAGGCTGAGTCGATCCCAGGGCAATAGTGCGGCTGGAAGGATTAGGTTAATTAAAAAATCCACTTCATCGAGACTCAAACCCGCGACCTTACGGCTTGTAGCTAAGTGCCCGAACCAACTACGCTACCTTGTTAATTTTAGCGCATTAAAGAACTGAAAGCATATTTCATGCAAACAGATGGTTACCACCCTGAAGTATGAGAATGTGTGCTTTATGTAATGTTCAAACTACCATCGGTCTTGTATCATAACTGCGCGTGCGTCAAGTGCCTTTCGGTTAAGTTAATGAAAACAGTTGGGACATGTGTAGCAGTATTAAAAAGAAATACGAACTTGTTACGAAAACTGGAGAGAAAAATCCAGCCTGAAGAATTGAGAACACGGGTGAAGTAGCTTATATGTTCTAAAGAAGCTTAGAGAGGACTTTAAAGGGCCAAAAAATGTAATTTTCAATTCCAGATTGTCTTTGGCTCTTTTATATGGATGCCACCTATGTGCTGGAAATTCTATTAGTGTCTGAAATCAAAATCTGATTAACTACTTTAAAAATGTGTACCACTTCAAAGTGGAATTTAATTATTTTTGCTTCTGAGTCCTGGGGCTTTTTACAGGTTGTCGTAATACCGGCGCAAGATCACAACATTTTCTTCTTTCATTTCTTCCTTTTTCTGCCTCCCACTCAAACCGTTTCTCAGATATCAGAAGAGTAAATAGTAATTAATTTCAATTCAATCCTTTTAATACTGAGCGTATTAGACAGCTGAGCGAAATATTAGGAAATACCAGAGAAAATTTACAAGTTTTCCGACTGCAAAAATAACTAAGTTTAAGCTTACGACCACAGCGAAATTCTCCCTAAAAACATAAAGCACCACTATTCCCTCATGTGAAGCATTTAACAATGAAAATGCAAATACCAATTATCTTAACATTGCTTCTCTTTCAGTCGCTATTACGGAAAATGCTCCTAGCCTACTGGTCTCTGCTCACAAGCAAACAGTAGGCGTATACTGGATGAAGCGAAATGAGCATTATAACAATTCTGGCAAACTAAAACGAAGGAAACCAAATTTATGTGCCTGCTCTATGCAACCGCAGTTGCTAACAAGAATTTCTAATAAGAACTAATCTCCTACTTTTCAAGCGGTTAGTCGCTGGCTTCCCACCTCGACGGCCCGGGTTCGATCCCGGGTCTCGTCAAGTGGGATTTGTGGTGGACAAAGTGGTGCTGGGGCAGATTTTCTCCGAATACTTCGGTTTCCCCTGCTAATCTTCATTCCACCAATTTCTCCACAATCGCCCTCACCTATCATCTGGGGCTGGTACAATAGGCCAGAAGTGGCTGCAGTACAAGGGACTTAGTCCCACCCAACTAGCAATAAAAAAGTCGCCTGCTTTCCTTTGATACGACAAGGACGGCACGGAGAAAAAGAGGATATGCACAGACACACAGAGTTAGGTGACCTTAGAATACACGAAAAATTAAGGGGAAGCACAGACAGAGGGCAACGTCATCTCGTGAGCCTTATGAGCCTGACAAATTAGGAGAACGCACAGATAATTGGACAGAGACGGATATAGAGCCAGAAAGTTGATCTCATACGCCTCATTTTATTTTATTTTTCGAAATGAGGAAAGTAGGCTAAAACAGACAAGTAGCATTCTATATTTAAAAATTTAAATTCGACTATCAGTGCTTCTGTTTCAAAACATGTGTATGCACACTTAACTATCGATGAAATTAGAAAAGAAATCTGTTCTTCCCTCGGGGTTTTCTTAAAATAAGTTGTGTTTAAAAATGAAAGAGCTAATTTACGATTTACGATGGTGCTGAGTATTCACGTTGATATTAAAACAATTCCTGACCGTGCGAAAGTACATCACGTCACACACCTTCTACATATCTTTATAAAACACATCTTGAACCCTTAGAGCTATCAACACATAAGTAAGTAGTACAAGTCCACCAAGTGTAATTAGTTTAACAGGAGCAAGTAAAAATTCTGCCTTCACTTGTTTCGACCATTACTGGTCATCGTCTGAAGGCATAAGCAACAATATGAAGGAATTACTTTGCATCCATTGTTGTTTATACATAGGTAGTTCCCATGGTATTATGAAAGGACTTGCAGAAGTTGAAGAAACTGAGACTAAAGAGCTATACATTTAAAATTTGATTCTTATATCAGGTGTAACTGCATAGAGTCATCTATAATAATTTTTGGTCGAGCAGACAGAAGATATTTATTGATGACCTGTTTTTAGTTACGTATAACATTTTACCGATTGTTGTACTGTGAACTGTGTGTGACACATGTAATCCAGTGAAGCACGCAGCAGTGTGTGGGGCGTATCAGGGTCCACAGTAGTTACAACTTGGCTTCTGCTGCCTATTTGTCTCTCCGTATTGAATGCCCGTGGCGCGACCTACTGCCACCTACTGATCGCTTCATGAATCGAAGGATGCATTAGCAATAAAATTATATTTAAAGATAGTAATTTTTTTTAATTCGCTTAGGGGGGGGGGTGGAGTCCAACTGGGTCCACTCGGCACGGCGGCCACTGATTGGCCTATCGTAGTCTGCCCCGGGTAATTATGATGATGGAGAATTTGGTGGAATGAAGATTGGCAGGGGAAACCGAAGGACTCGGAGAAAGCCCGCACCAGCGCCACTTTGTCCAATACAAATCTCACTTGATCAGACCGGGGATCGAACCCGTGCCGCCGCGGTGGGAAGCCAGCGAATAACCGCTTGAGCTATGGCGCGGCCTTTTAAAGATAGTAACTCACAAATCTTAATACACGAGCACGATAATCGAGAAAACAGCCCTTTTTGAGCCATAGTCTTCCTTAGAAATTTCTGTCAGATTTGACCCGGTTTCAACTTCTTTGGATTTTGCTATGTACGAGGTATCACTCTTACTTCCTGTGTTCTCTCTGCCTACTTTTCGTGTTTAACTGATGTACTAAGTGGTTATTAATTACACTTACACTAAATAAATCTCTTGGATGGCCTGTATGAATCCTGAACAATTAGTTTCTTAGAGGCCCATATTAAACAACGTAATCCGCGAACCGAATTTTGGTCAAAAAAATATAATTCAGATATTTCAGATGTATTCTAAACAAGAAGCAAATCATTTCATTATTAAAATATTACAAGTCATGAAAATACAGATATATATTTTAAAATAAAATGCCAAAGATATGTTTCTAGTGTTACTCCGTCCTTTCTCAACTACACCAGGCTACACCGCCGAAAGAGAAGACGATGGAAGAGCAACCGATTCTCTGCAACTGCCTGTGAGCTCTAAGAAGAATCACGATAACTTCAGGCTAGCCACATTTTTGTTCCTAAATTCGAAACGGTGACAGCCCAAACAGGAAACAGTTTACCACGAAGTTCCACAAGAAGGTGAATGGTAACAGAGCTTACCTTTACTGGTACCGTCAGGTCCTCTAAGAATTGTGCACTCTTCTATGGTTCCGAATGGAGCAAACAACTGGCGTACATCTTCTTCAGTTTGTTGCTTGCTAAGCATACCCACAAACAGCTTTCTGTCTTCTGAAGACAACCACAGGTTCAGCCGAAAAGAGACAGAGAAATGCATGACATTAGTATATTATCAGGATGACTAACAACAGCGCATGCGTGACAAGCCGTGACACAACACATCCACTGCATATGCAAACAACAAACAATATAATCACAGATGACCACTTTTCTGATTACGTCTACATGGAGGAGCCCCTGCGACAGTCTACGGACAGGCAATCGGAAGGTTTTGCAAATAAAAGTATAATCACCACGACATGAAACGTACAGAAGGCGTGGAGGTTAGTTCTAATAATTTTAAACCGATGCACTAGATGGAGGTGATTGGCCAGCTTCATGCTTTCATATCTTTATATACGAGGAAGTAGACACCAACATTCTTTGGAGAGGAGGCAAGGTGAACCCCAAACCGGACGGGACCTGGTGGTGAAGACACACTTCCTCCCTCTACCGAGAATAGAACTGCTACTTTCTACTCAGTAACATCACAGCTCACTGAAAAGTCTGAACGTTCTTGAGTTGTTTAAAACACATATTCAACAAAGTACATTTCACATGAGTCGAATTTTGCATTAGTCGTGAATAATGAACTGGAAACAAGGCGAATAGAAAGATTTCTCTTGAGGCACTTAGAAATATCATGGAAGAACTAAAGTCACCATAGTCGGCCTTCGAACCAAGATTTCAACTCGGTACCTCCTGAATTCGAAGTAGCATACCAAACTATTGCATAGCAACGTTAAGTCCATTCCAAATTACATATTGCTCGTTTAACACCGACCGTTCTCTGGAGAGATCTCAGCAATTTAAAGCATGAGTCACATTTTCGATAATTACCAGTCCGAACCACAGCACGAATATCAACGTTCCGAAGATAGGATTCCACTGGTGCTCTATACTCATGTATCTGACGTTCATAACAGCCTTAACCAGACACATCATTATCGCATTCTCGGTTTTTAAATTTGGGGCTTAATCTCTGACCCGGCACTTAGACTGGTTCCAGAGCTAGAAATTTAGGGTTTGCGTTTCAATGTTATCTTTAAATCTCTGTATATAACATTGATCTTTTTACCAGCAAATTGGACGTAAATTTTAGGAAGAAACTAGTGAAATGCTACATTTGGAGCATACCTCTGTATGGGGCTGAAACATGGACACTTAGGGCAGTAGATCAGAAACATCTGGAAAGTTTCGAAATGTGGTGTTGGAGAAGGATGGAGAAGATCAGTTGGACCGATTATGTGAGAAATGAAGAAGTGTTAATTAGAGTCAGTGAGCAGAGGAAGGCTAATTGGATTGGTCGTGTTTTACGCAGAAACTGCCTTCTAAAAGAAGTTATAGAAGGAAAGATAGATGGGCGGATAAAAGTGACAAGAAGACGAGGAAGAAGACGTAAAAAGATGCTGGATGACCTTGGGGGCAGAAGAGGATACTGTCATTTGAAGTAGAAAGCTCTAGATCGCATTAAGTGGAGGATTTGTTTTGGAAGAGACTGTGGATCTGTCGTCTTGACAGATTACTGATGATGATGATACAACTTTGAACAAACCGCCACAATGAAACCTACATTCCTTCAAAATTTCTGTAAGCTTATCTGTTTCTTTTGTGCCGGTACTTAAATTACATACAACTTCTTTGTTTTATGTACCCCCCAAAATTCCAGAAAAAGAAAATCACGAAATTCCTTCGCCTGTGTCGAGGAATACGATAGTGTAGTTGTTTGAGGCACTATACTACAAGCTGTAAGGTCGCGGTTTGATTCCCAATAAGGTCATTGGATTTTTTTCAATTGATCTCATCCTTCCAGCCGCATTATGGCCCTGGGGTCAGCTCAGGCCCTAACAGAAATGAGTACCAGGAATCTTCCTGGGGAGTAAAGTGCGGCCGATGCGTAAGACTGACAACCTTACCGCCATCTATGAGCCGATTTTCTAGAAGGTGTGGGAGCCTCGATGTCTCAAAACTCTATGAGCTTTCACGGCCTGTTACATGAATAGCTTTATATTTTACTTTTCTTGCCAATTTCTCCACGTTCTGTACCCTCGTTCATTTATTTTGCTTTCTGTTTCTTTCCTATCTGGGAGTTCACAGTAATCTGAAACTATGTGCCCTTTAGGAACACTTTAAACATACCGGTACAATTTATTTAACAACTTTCCAATAATACGGAAATATAAAGAATAACATTTTCATTTCTCTTCTGTTCCGTTCGACTGAGCCAATTCTTCAATTACCTTTGTGAAAACAAGTTCCAATGCTAATTCATTTGAGATTTAATTAACACTGTCGAACAACTCAGATATTTTACGATAGGTCGGAGGATGTGTAAAACATCGAGAGCTGTGTTAAAGCGTAGAGTTGCTACAGGCAAATGGACGGAAAGAAGAGAAGCCACGTACTTCATGTATTTAAAACAAATACCACAGAACGTTCCTTTAAAATTTTTAACACTATACGAAAAAGAATTACACAAAGTAGCATTTAATCTTTCTTTCGTGAAAAATAAATTTCCTATATAGCCACAAACCCAATTCTTTTTATATTACCAGCCGTTTAGTCAGTGCAGTAATTTCCGTGTTACCTAACGTCGCTAATAAATGCGGTATCTCAGGTGTGCCAAGGTCTGAGCCGCGGAAGACAGAGTACCTTCAGGGGAATATTCTGAAACATTTGCCAGTTATCAGACATTTTCTTGAATATTCCGTTTTCTTTTCAAGAAGTTACCCGGTGTGATTTCGATCTCTTGCCTTGAGGTAGACATCCATTCCGATATTAGGTGCGAAATCTGGGAGACAGCCGGCGTAGCTCGGTCAGTATAGTGCTCTACAGAAGGCTGTACGACCGGAATATCATGTTTCGATTCTTAGCCACAGCAAACATTTCTCTCTTCACTATCCTGTGCAGAACTCAGGGACTCACACAGCTTTCTGTCCAGTGGTCACTGGGGCCGATCTCCCTAAAGTTAAAGGGTAAAGGATAAAGGGTGTGAAGGTAATCACTCACATCTAGTGCCGAGGAATAGAATATGTGGAGCTATACCTCCAATCCTATATGTCTTCGTGGTGATAACATATTAAAATTTGAAGTTTATCTAAATAACCGTCAAAAAGGCATTTCCTACTTCGCAGAAAACATAGTATGTTCGTATTGCAAAAACCAACATGTTTTTGCTTTTAGGGTAAAAATGGCTGTTTATAATGAGAATCATAAGCAACATAGAAATACGTTCCTTGAAAAAACGTAAATCATGAATGTTAAAGCAGTCGAAGTTTATAGTAACCAGAGCGCTTCTTAAGGGTTACTTAAGCACAGGGACAATTTTCTTTACATGACATCTGACTCAGGAAGAAAATTCATTAAATTCTTTAAATGAGTGAAAGTTGACTTGACATACGACATGCGTCTTTCTAAAAGATGCGTGTCTTTATGCCTGTCAGAAATGCCGCCACATCATCACCAATGATCATGAAAGAAGGAGACAGTGCTGGGTGACTACTGCTGAGGTAGCGTAAGCCAGTGATTCAACACAGATAATCACAAACTACGTCATTGGACATGTCCTTGAGGCAGTGCCACCCAATTCACAACCTACCTCCGTAATCTTGTCGGTCTTCCAAGTCCTCCAGAGCTTCATGCCATGGGAATTCGGTATTAATTGCCTGTCTTCCTATTCCATCAACAGCCTCAAACCATCTTAGTCATCTTTCAGCGAAACTAAAATCTGTGGCTTCAGTCCGCAAGCGAACTGTACCGACCGAGCTACCGCCGCTCGTCGGGGAAGTTAGTGCCAACTTTAGTGGATAGAGGGTGTCGCGTGGTCAGCGCAACGAATCCCCACAGCCGTTAACCTCTGTTTTCTAGACTTTCATTATCCTAAGAATAGTACGTGACATTTAAGATCATGTATCGTAACTCATCATATTGTAACATCCTAAACTACCAATTTCCTTATATTTCATCAGTCTAAATAATTTCTGAGCACTTTGCTTAAACATTTATATTTCCTGTTCTTCCTCAAATTAACAGAAATATTTATGTGTTCATATAACACAAAAGCACTACTGAGAAACTATAAACTTATTTTTATTATACTTCGGAGACCTGGTTTTACTTTTACTTTTTTACTATTTCAGTGAGATCACATTGGTAACAATGATAATGATTTTCAGGTTCGTGATAATACTCATTAAAGTATTATTTCTAAAAACTAGTTAACTAATTACTTTGTGTTGAACCGACAGGCCTGATGTGACTGTTTCAAACAACAGAGGAGTCTCAGAATCAGAAGGGTCTCATAATATGACTTGAATAATCAGTAAATAGAGAAAATGAGAAATGCTTAACGGCAAGTTAATGCAGCTTAACCCTCCGAAGCTCAGCATCACCTTCATATAAAAATTCAGTTTCTACCTTACAGAAAACAAACTGGTCTCCTTGCAGAAACCGATAGTTTGTGCTGGTTGGGAAATAAATGCTGTTCTTCTGAGAATCAAACGAAAACAGTAACTGTATTTTGTGGGTAAAAGCAGAATTTAACAGTATAGCACAACAATTAAGCTATTGCAAATTATGTTGACTCGCGTACAATTTTACTTTCAGAGGGAATTCATTATTTCAGGAACATTTATTAACCCGATGTGTGTGATGTCTCTCTCTTAAATTGGTAGCTACTCAGATCGGAACTACATTACAGGCGTCCACTGACATATGTGCATAACACTGCCTCGCCCCAGCAACAGCTACTAGCTCCTGTGGCTCCATGCTGGAAGCAGGGGACAGGGTTAGAAACACACAGGACACTGCAAACCCATCGTATTTCATAGCCATGTATCATGAAAGCGAAATGTGATGGTACTTTTTAGGGATGTTCTTTCTTGTCATGACTTCCATGCTACCAAAAACGTGTCTTACAAGCTGATAGATGCCTTACTTTACGCCTCTTAAAGTAACTAAAGCAAAGTTACCCCTGTAACAGTCAGTCGAGGTTCCCACATTTTCTGTAGACA